TAGAAGATATCTTTGAATTTTGACTGTATGCCCTTTTACATTTTTGAAATGTAGAAAGTCATGTCTACATCGCTTATACAAAAATAAATAAATTAAAATAAACACACTAAAGCAGATGCTGTGGTTCCTGGCAGGTCACATTGGTGTGGTCACCTACAGTGACATCTGCTGGTACTTCCCAACAGCTCTTTAGGTCAGTGTTTTTCAAACTGCTAATTTGAAAATGGGCCATGAAATCAATTTAGTGGATTCAAATAGCATTCAAAAAAAGAAAAGAAAAAAGAAAGAAAGAAATAGAGTGTAGAATGACATAGAATAGAAAATTTCACAGTTCCTAACTGCAACCGAACAAGAGCACACTGGGCCTTCCATGGACAGATACCCCATGTCCTCTGCCTGCCTCTTGTCTGTAGACTTTAGCCTTTTAGGCCTTCCTTGAGTTCCAAAGACTAACTTTGCTCAGAGAAGTGAGAAAATGCGGAAAGAACAGAAAACAGTCAAGCAAGACAAAATAATAATACTTTAGCCATTAAACAAAGTCAAAGACCTTTTGTTCCTCCTCAAGGGCTATAGATAATAGAGATAATAATAATTCTGAGCCATGTCCTTTGAGCTGTTTTGTGGATACTTCCATCAGGTGGAAGAAGCTAACTGTATGTCTACCCCTCTCCCACCCCCTTACTTTCCTCTATGTTGGCTTAATTCTTGAATAGACCCTTCTTTTATGGTGGCAAAATGTCTTCTGGGAGCTCAAAGATTACATCCAATAAGTTTAATTCCAACAGGAAGAGAAGTCCCATTTTTTTTTAATGACCCTATCAAAAGTTCCAAGAATGTGTCTCCCTGGACTCACTGCCTACCTTGAGCCCTGTGCCCAATGTTGAATCAGTCACCGAAGCCATGAGATTAGAATCCCCTAATTGGCTAATCTCAGATCACTACTCACCCATGGAGACCATCCAGCCCAGTTGTGGAGAACAGCTACATAGGGTGTGAAAAGGGGTGCTTCCTCAAATATGTATTAGATATGCTGTCACCTGAAGGAGAGGAACAGCAAAACAGGCAAAAACAATACATGTCCTTGTCAAACTATAATCTGTACAGTGAAAATGCCAACTACCTAAGTATGTTTTCCTGGGTTAATACAGTACCTATGTGAGAATGAATCATTTAAGATAAAAATGTCAAGGAAGTGAGATTAACATTTCAATTCTTATTGAGTTGAATAAGCTATCTTATTCAGCTGTTCTTCACATTTTAGGCTTCTCCGTGATGTGTTTTCCCTCAGGATTCTATTTAGATTTCCCACTAACCACTTCTTATGAAGAATTGGGTTATTCATTAGTTTATAAATTTTACACTAATTATAAAAATACTCAATTGATTGTTTTTTGCCCCACTGATTTTGGTCAAATAGTTTAATCATAATAGAAATGTAAAATTTATGAAAGACCAAAGCACACTCTGAGGAGCACGTATCTCACTTCTGCTTTTGTTCATTCTTTCTCAGGAAACAGAGAAGCATCTGGACACATCTGGCATGATTTTCTAGTTATCCAGTTTAAGCCAAAAAAAAAGTGGTATCATCTGTTTTTCTTTTATATATTTTGAAACATGAGTCTCTGAAAGCTACTTCCTAACATATGTCCATTTAACATCTGCCAGTTCCTAACTGATAGCCAGAAACAGTCGTGCTGGAAGCCCCCTGCAATAGTGCCAAGGTTTTTCCCATTAGAACTGTCTTCACTTTGGAGTTGTCAGTAATATTTTAACTCTAGGGGTAGCCTATTTCCTTAACTTGAAGGAGATATATGAATTGGAAGCATAGAGCAGGAGGAATAAATAGGATGATATACAGTTCTGTCGGGGTATAGCAGAGAAAGGTTTCAAAAAGAAGTATTAGATAAGAAAGTCCATGTCAAAGGTCACGGATTAAACAGCTTCTTCTGGCAAAGCAGGCTTCACAACACCACATCTCAATTTCTCCTTGTTATTCAATATCAAGAGTGTTTGCAAGCAGAATTAAGATGTATTAACCACATCTAAGGGTACACAACCATGTCCAAAACTTCTCTTACATTTCTTCTCCTTTTTAATCCTTTGATGGAATTTAAATTGCATCAGTGAGCTTCCATTTCCATCTGGGAATTCATAACAGAACAATACTTTGACATTTATTTTGAGCCTAAGTGCCAGTCTTGGGCAAGATCAGTATTTTTACCTGCCCTAAGATAATCTGGTGTTGAATTCAGTAGTTCAACAATATCCAGACGTAGCAATTCAGGGGATTCCAAATGATTAGTGTCATTTGTTCTCTTTAATACATTCTCCCCACCCTAATAACATTATTGCATTTTGTTTCATTGGACTTTAAAGGAGAGGTGTCACCATGGGCTCATCAAGGTCAAGGCTGTCTGCATGTCATTAATGATACAACCTCAATGTGAAACTCAGTGCTTGACACACAGTCCCAGGGGATGAATGAATCAATCCTGTCCTGAAATTCTGTGATCCAACATTTGCTCTTACAGTCCTCAAATTCTGGTATTTTAAACAGTCTTACATAAATTATAAAACCATGAAATTGAGTTGATAAAGAAAGAAGAAATAAGTCCTAGGTCTTGGACTTCCACAGGAAAACTTTAATGGCAGTACTCTCTAAATAAATTTGAGAACCCACATGTATTCTACACCAAATACCATTTATGGTAGTAGCCACTCAAAAATATTTTAGTGAATATAGTGATTTTGAATATAAATGTGGGAATTGTGGGAAGAGAAGGAGTTTGGTGACTGATGATTAACTAATCCTAGACAAAGGAGGCAGGTCTATACAGGGAGAAAAGACAGTCTCTTTGGCAAGCGGTGTTGCGAAAGCTGGACAGCTGCATGTAAATCAATGAAGTCAGAACACTCCCTCATGCCATTTAAAAAAATAAACTGAAAGTAGTTTAAAGACTTAAATGTGAGACATAATACCAGAAAACTCCTAGAACAGAACATAGGCAAAACATTCTCTGCCATAAATTGTAGCAATATTTTCTTAGATCAGTCTTTCAAGGCCAAAAGAAAAGAACGAAAGAAAAGCAAAAAATAAACAAATGGGGCCTAATCAAACATAAAAGCTTTTGCACAGCAAAGAAAACAATAAACAAAACGAAAAGAAAATTTACAGACTGAGAGAAAATATTTGCAAATGATATGACCAACAAGGAGTTAATTTTCAAAATATACATGCATCTCAATATCAAAACAAACAACAACAATCAAAAAAATAGGCAGAAGACCTAAACAGACATTTCTCCAAAGAAGACATACAGATAGCCAATGGGCACATGAAAAGATGCTCAACATCGCTAATTATTAGAGAAATGCAAATCAAAACTACAATGACATATCATCTCATACCAGTCAGAATGGCCATCATCAAAAGTCTATAGGTAATAAATGCTGGAGAGGGTGTGGAGAAAAGGGAAACTCCCTACACTGTTGGTGGGAATGTAAATTGGTGTAGCTACTATGGAAAATAGTATGGAGGTTCCTTAAAAAAACTAAAAATGGAGTTACCATGTGATCCAGAATCCTACTCCTGGGCATATATCTGGAAAAGATAAAAATTCTAACTAGAAAAAGCATATGTACCCCAATGTTCACTGCAGCACTATTTACAATAACCAAGATATGGAAGCAACCTAAGTCCATCAGCAGATGAATGGATAGAGAAGATGTGGAATATATAGATATACAATGGACTATTAGTTGGCCATTAAAAAGAGTAAACAAATGCTATTTGCAGCAACATGGATGGACCTAGATATCACATTGACTGAAGTAAGCTAGATAGAGAAAGACAAGTGTTATATGATATCACTTATATGTGGAATCTAAAAAATAATACAAATAAACTTATTTGCAAAACAGAAACAGACTCATAACAAACTTATGGTTGCCAAAGGGGAAAGAGTCAGGGAGGGAGTATGGGATTAGCAGATACACACAGTTATCTATAAAATAGGTAAACAGTAAGAATTTACTGTATTGCACAAGGAACTATATTCACTATCTTGTCATCAATATCAACCTCTAATGGAAAAAATTAGAAAAAATACATGTATAACTGAATCATTTTTCTGTACACCTGAAACTAACACAATATTGTAAATCAACTATACTTCTATAAATTTTTTTAAAACAACAACCATTTATTAGTATTTTGTTAATTGCTCCCAAATCTTCAATTTGGGTAGGACCCAGCAGTGCCAGTTTTTCTCTGCTCTACATGGTGTCAGCTGGTGTGGCTCAAGATACTTCAATCACATTGAGCAAGATAGTGCTAGCTGGTAGCTAAAACCTTAGCTGGGCTCTGTTCCTTGGGGGTCTCTGTTCCTCTATATGTGGATCTCTCTGCAGGGTTTCTTGGGTTTCATCACAGTACAGAAGCTGAGTAACAGAAAGGAAAGTTTCATGAGGCCCAGGAGGTAGCTGCAAGACTTTCTATGACCTAGCCTCATGAGTCTTAGAATGCCATCTTTGCCACATTGATCAAACAAGTCACTAAGACTGTTGAGATTCAAGGAGAGGAAGGAGTCTCTTGGTGGAAGGAGTAGCAAAGACATTGAAGATATTTTTAATCTACCATATTCTGTCTTTATCCAAGTTCTGCTGAATCTACTATCAAGACGTCTCTCAAATCCATTCCTCATGCTTTTGACCACCCACATCTTCTTGTGCAGAGAAAATCATGTTGGTACTGCCAACGGATCAGAGAAACATGATGTAAGATCCTTGCAGCAATGTGTTGGTCTGTCTCCAAATAGCCACAAAGGCAGCTTTAAATAAGTTGAGACACTGGGAGAAGTTGAAGGCAAAATATTCTTTCAAGAGAGGTCTCCAACATTGTCATTGTCATTTTTTTTCTTATAATCATCCTTAAAATTATTTACTAAAGTCACCCCTGTACTGTGTAGAGTGATTTTCAATGACTGTATGTGGATTCTTACATAGAAAAGTAGAAACACATTTGCTGATTCCTTGGATTTCCTTCCAAAAAGATCTGGGCCAGCAACCACAAGTTATCCTACTTTTTCTAAAAAAGAACAGAAAATTAATGATGATTCTTTTATGGTCAATGTATTATAGCTGAACTTGATTGCTTTATGTGCTATAGGTACATTTTCCTACCGTGCAGTCAAGGTACATGTAGTACGATTTTTACTGTGTAAATTACTATAGATATATCTCAATGTCGAAATTTTATTTTTATGGCAAATTAGCTGGAAATGGCTACAGTTTATTTGTTTTTGTGTCTATGTTTGTGTCTAAGTTGTTTTTGTGATCCTCAGTTACGACACTAGTCTTAAGAGGCAAAGTGATCTTTGTTATGACATGGTTTCCAGGAAAGCATTGTGGACATGAGCAAGGACTGTCTGTGCTGTCCAAGGAATTGACAACAATATGATCCAGCATTTGAAGGAACATTGAAATGCACCTTGCAACCAACCACTGATCAGGGTACAAGACTAATGAGGATTCTTACGGAACTTGGGGAAGAGAGCTAAATAGAATTTAATACATTGCTCCCTAACTTATCTTTCTTTATGACTCTATAGAGGGCTAATTGTTTTTCCTTGATCCTGTGACAGAAAGAATTGGAGGGGACAGGAAGAGAAAGAACAATTTTGCTCTCAGTTAATTTTCAATAAATGATTGATGAACTTCATCAAGACCAATTTAAGGAAATCAATCAAGATGGTGGAGTAGGAGGACATGAAACTCACTCCCTGCAAGAACACATCAAAAATACATCTACTTGTGGAACAATTCCCACTGAAAACTAACTGGAAACTGGCAGAAAGACTCCTGCACAACTAAGGCTGTAAGAGAGAGCCACACGGAATAGGGTCAGAAGGGAAGAGAAGCAATTAGGTCAGGACCTGTGCCCCTAGGAGGGGACTCAGAGGAAAAGGGAGATTACACAGGAGATGCACTCTGGGGAATGGGCAGTTTGAGCCACGTACTGAGCACCTCACTTCTGTTTCAACTCAGGGAAGATGAGCCCCCTTGGCTGGTTGGAGAGCTGCTGGCACTAAGAGGAGGGCTGTGGGAAGCCTGGACTCCACATCTGAGGAACGCACTGCACTGCCTTGCCCTTGAGGCAGGGAGGGGAGGGTGGATTGAGTGGCTGCCAGGTTTCTTGCAACTACCTCAGCACACACCCCAAGCGAGGCAAACAATTGCTCTAGCCCTGCTTACTTCACATTGCAACTCAGTGTTGGATAGAGGGCTATCACAACTAAGGAGAGATCTTGGCCATGGGATGTAGAGGTGACTTGGATCTGAGGAAATATCTGAGTCGGGGTAGAGGCAGCCATTGCTGGTGCTTACAGAGGGAGTGCAACAGGGGTGGTCCTGATCTCTGACAGAGGTTTGGCTATCACAGCCTGTGCCCCGCACACACTGAGAACCCACAAAGGGCTACATACCGCATGGCACAGATTCACAATAGGGCGGTGGGGGAGGAGGGTGGCGGAGACTTGAGGGAGTGATCGGCTGTGAAGGAGACTCAAGCCTGAGGCTGCATCTGAACAGGGTGGGAACAGCCATTGCTAGTGCTTGCACAGGTAGCACATTGGAGACTGGATGCCTGTCTGTGGCCAGCCCATTATAGCCCTTGTCTCTTAACCAGCCAAGAGCCTGCAAGGGCCCCTCTTGCTCCAGCCATGCTCCCTGGAGGGCAAGGGTCCCAGTTCTAAGAGAAGGGAGGGCCTACTTTTAAAGGAAACAGAGCCAGCTCAGACCTGACCTTCAGAGAGTCTGCTCCAGCAACTTGGGATCAGATCCCAGCCCGGATAGGGCAATGATGGCCTGTGGGGAAGCCTTGCTCATACTTGGCTCTGACCCTAAGATGTGGAGCTCCACCTCCAGCCCCACCTCCTACTAAGGTGATAGATGCCAGCAAAGCCTGAGGAAAGACAGGACTTGTTTGCAAGTCAAATCCAGCTCTCCCACCAAAGGCACTGAGCAACAAAGAGGGTAAAAGTATGCTCCCACATAAAGATATTCTTTCAAAGCACAGTAGGTAACTGTTTCACCTAAATCCATACAGACATAGAAGGTTAAGCAAAATGAGAATACAGAGGAGCTGTTCTCAAATGAAACAGCAAGAGAAAAATCCTTAGAAAATAAATAATGAAACAGAAATACACAATTTACCAGATAAAAAATTCAAAGCATTAGAAATAAGAATGCTAATTGAATTACAGAAAAGATAGATAAACACAGTAAGAATTTTAACAAGGAACTAGAAAATATAAAGAAGAATCAGTCAGAACTAAAGAATATAATAACTGAAATAAAAAACACACTAAAAGATATTAATAGCAGACTAAGTAACAGAAAAATGCATGTTATCTGGAAGATAGAATAATAAATATCACCCAATCAGAACAGCAAAAAGAGAAGCAAACTTAAAAAATGAGAAAATTTTGAGTGATTTCTGGGATAATGTCAAACAAACCAACATTTGCATTATAGGGGGTCCCAGAAGGAGAAGAGAGAAAGTAGTGAAACATGTTTTTGATGGAATTATGGCTGAAAACTTCCCCAAACTGAAGAATGACACAGATATCCAGCTACAGGAGGATAGAGGGTCCCAAACAAGATGAATGCGAACAGACCCAGACCAAGAAATGTCATAATTAAAATGGCAAAAGTTAAAGAGAGAAATCTAAAAGTAGCAAGAGAAAAACAGAGTCACCCTCGCTATAAGGCTACCAGGTGATTTTTTTCTGCAGAAACTTCGTAAGCCAGAAGGGAATGTGTGATGTATTCAAAATGCTAAAGATGAAAGCATACAACCCAGGATGCTCTAATCAGTGAGATTACCACTTAGAATTGAAGGAGGATAAAGAACTCAAACAAACACAAACTGGAAAAGTGCATCAATACTAAACCTACCCTAAAAGAAATGTTAAAGGATTTTCTCAAAGTGGAAAAGAAAAGGCTATAATAAGAAGTAAAAGATCTATAGGAAAGGGAAAATCCCACTAGGAAAGACTGAATCAGGAAGAAACAGACAGTCTGAACAAACCAATCACTAGTAGTGAAAGTGAATTTAAAAAAAAACCCAAAAACTCTTAGCAAACAAAAATTCAGGACTGGATATCTTCACAGGGGAATTCTACCAATATAAAGAAGAGCTACTATCTATCCTTCTCAAACTGTTTCAAAAACTGAAGAGGACAGAACACTCTCAAATTCATTCTACAAGGCTATCATTAACCTGATAACAAAATTAGATTAATATACAACAAGACAAGGCAATATGGGCCAATATCTTTGATGAATATAGATGCAAAAATTCTTAACAAAACACTAGCAAACTGAAGTCAGCAATATATAAAAAGGATTATACACCATGATCAAGTGGGATTTATTCTAGGGATGCAAAGATGATTCAATGTTTGCAAATCCAACATGATACACCACATTAACAAAAGAATGGATAAAAATCACATGATTATCTCAACAGACAGAAAAAGTATTTGACAAAATTCAACATCTATTCATAAAAGTTTTAATCAATGTTGGTATAGAGGGAATATAAAAGAATGATATTAGAACATTTCCTCATACTGTGTACAAAAATACCCTCAAAATGGATTAACAATCTAAATGTAAGACCTAAAACCATAATACTCCTAGGAGAGAACACAGGCAGAACATTCTTTGACATACATTGTAGCAATATTTTTTGGTCTATCTCCTAAGGCAAAAAAAATAAATAAATAAAAGCAAAAATAAACAAATGAAGCCTAATTAAACTTTAAAAACTTTTGCATAGTAAAGGAAACCATCAACAAAGCAAAAAGACAACCAACTGAATGGGAGACAGTATTTGCAAATTATATGACTGATAAAGGGTTAATATCAAGATATATATATATATATATATATATATATACACATTTCACATAAGTCAGTATCAAAAAACAAACAATCTAATTTAAAAAATGGGCAGAAAGCCTCAACAGACATTTTTTTCCAAAGAAGTCATACAGATGGCTAACAGGCATATGAAAAGATGCTCAACACCACTAATTATTAGAGAAATGCATATCAAAACCACAATAAGACTTCACTTCACACTTGTCAGAATGGCTATCATCAAGAAAATGTACAAATAACAAGTTTTATGGAGGACGTGGTGAAAAGAGAACACTTATACTCTCTTGATGGAAACGTAAATTAGTGCAGCCACTATGAAAAATAGCATGGAATTTCCCCAAAAAACTAAAAGTAGAACTATCATATATCCAGCAGTTCCACTGCTGGGTACATATTGGGGTAAAACAAAGCAAAACACTAATTTGAAAAGATACAGGCAACCCAATGTTCATAGCAGCATTAGTTGGAACTTCCAAGATATGGAAGCAACTTAAGTGTCCATCAACATATGAATGGATAAAGAAGATGTGGTGTATATAGATACAACAGAATATTAGTCAGACATAAAAACCCTGAAATTCTGCCATTTACAACAATGTGTACCAAGAGAGTACTTATACTTAGTGAAATAAGTCAGGTAGAGAAAGGCAAATATGGTATGTTATCACCTATATGTGGAATGTAAGAAATAAAGGAAATAATTGTATAGAACAAAACAGAAACAGACTCACAGATATAGAGAACAAACTAATGGTTGCCAGTTGGGAAGAGGAAGTGGGGAGGGGCAACATAGGGGTATGGAATTAAGGGATACAAATTACTGTGTATAAAATAGATAAGCAACAAGTATATATTGTACAGCACAGGGAAATATAGCCATTATTTTGTAATTTTATATCTATATGAGATGATGAGTATCATGTAATTTATTTTAATAATCATTTCATTGTATATGTAAAGTCAAGTCATTGTTATGTACACTTGAAACTTATATACAGTGCTGTATGTCAACTATATTTCAATAAAATTGGGGGGAAAAGACCAACTTAATATTTTAAAATAATAAAATGTTTTTTAGGCAAATGATTTTTGACAAGTATTTTAAAGCCTGATATAGGTAGATAACTTCTTAGACTGATC